TGGAACACAAAAAAAATTGAGTCTTAATGCCAGCCAAAAGTAAATTACATACTTAAACATGAAGAAATGTTCTGCAGATCTTGAACTTAAAAAATACGTTAATAAACATCTGGACATTAAAAAGTCCATTTACTTTATTTACAAATCAAACCTATTGAGTTTAAGTAAATAAATTAAGACTGTTTTTTAGACCTGATACTTTTTTTGAGATAGCTTTTAATAGAGAAGGACAACACCACAAAGTGACTACATTGTGTGCTAGATACTGGTGTAAAGAGCTGGGATGAAATTTTGGTATACGTAGTCATGGATTTTAGCCTCAGCAGAGTTGGGATTTCATAGTGGTTAGGTGTGCAAAATTATCATTCATTATGTCTATTTAATTTTTAATTACAATTACAAAACCAATTTATATTCTTTTTTGTTTGTGTTTTTTAAAATATTGGTATGTTTGCTCCCATATTAATGTGTAGAAAATGATTGTTGTTTTCTGAGTGTTTATGGAATTTGAACAAGTAGGGAATCTAAGTAGAGAGTTGTCAGCATTTGTTAATAGGTCCCAGGGCCCCTCAAGCTCTCAATAGATTAGAAGGTATTTGCAAACTTCTGTAGCCCAGTGCAAGAAGTGGGATCCTGTTATTTCATAAACTCACCATATCACGGAACCTCAGCTCCACCCTGGACAAATATGATGAAGTTTTCTTTCTGTGGATTATAGTATATCAGTTATTCATTCACTGTCTTAAAGTTAAATGGGTCTGTTTGCAGATATTTGTCTATGCCTTGAAAGTTCAGTGAACCCCAAGGCACCATCTCTCCTGGCAGTCCCTCTCCCCTCCCTGACTTCCCCCCACCCTGCCTGGGGCACAGAACCATTGCTGGCCTGCAGGGGCCATCAGCCCTGGCCAGTGGAGCATCAGCAGCTCTCCAGCTCCACACAGCCCTGCCCTGCTTGGCTGTCAGGCCCACCTTGTAGCCCTGTGCCCAGGGCTGGGGCTGCACTGGCGTCCCCCAGCTGCCCACTTCTGGTTGGAGGTGGGATGAGCCCAGGCACTAGACTTCCCCTTGGCCCCCATTCTGCCCTGACAGTCGCCCTACATGTTCTTCCCTCCAAAGCATTTTTAATGAAACTTTACTATTTATCATTTTTCTTGAAGTACTATGTTGCATAAAATGCTAAACATATGATAATATAAGAAATGAAATTTTATGGCAGCTCTCCTAAATCACTCAACATATTGCCAGTATTTTAAACTGTGCTTGTCTGCCAATTTACCACACATTATTTTTACAAATAACTTCATACTGACTATACACAAAGACTGAATCCTTTAAATAGTAAGCCACATAAATGGGGAACAAGTTATAGAATAGGACAGTGAAGTACATGCAGCTATATTGCTGTTCTGGTTCGTTGTTGTTTCCCGTGAGGGTTCATGTGAGGTGACAGGGTTGTGGTGGGGAGCAGTGTAGGCTGCTGCGCCGCGGTGAGCGAGGTGTCACCGGGTGTGCCCGCCAGCCTGCGAGGCCAGTGCGGCGCTGGAGCTGCCCTCTGCTGCCTTGGCACAAGTCTTGGCTCCTGAAGGACCCCTCTCAGGACAAGACACGCATTTGCTTGAAGACATTTCTCTCCTTTCCTCCTCTGGAGGTGCACCTTGTCTTCTCCTGTCACTGCTGCCACGATGTCGCTAGGTCCCCGGAGCAGCTAGTGCTGGCAACGCGCTGAGCTGCAGGGATGCCCATCTGTGGTACAAGCACTGTCAGAAGCACAGTGTGACAGAGAACACAGGGCTGTGAGGTCTGTGCTCTCCTCTCCAGCTGTATCTCATTGTGACAGATTTCAGAACTTGAGTTTCAGGTTTTCTGCACATATGGCTGTATTTGTTACATTTAGCCACATTTTCAAGACTTCTTTTGCAGCATAATGGAATCCAAGGGTTTCATATTTTGTTTAAAAATAAACTTGTTCTCATGCAATCTTATGACTCTGGGATTTGAAGTGATAGGCATGTCAAACTTGTAGTTTAACTAGGACTTCTGAGTAGAGAGGATGAAAGAGACAGAATAAGGACAACTAGAGTGATGATTGTGAAGAAAAGAAAAAAGCATTGAGTACATAAGTGTCTTCTTTCATATTGTCTTGCCTCTTACATGTGGATTAGTGCTTCTGAACCTGGAGGAAACAGTTCCAATGAGACTGAAATTGTGAGCTCAGTCTGGGAGAATTAAGGGAGAAGGCAAAAAATAGCATGAGAAGTCTTTAATTTTTTGTCCTGACTTCTCCACATAAACAGTAAACTCTAGAGCAGGTAGACTGGCCTGAAGAAACATCATCTTTGTGTTGTTTAACATTACCTTCAAAATGCAAATGTTAAAAAATCAAGAGAGATAATTCTGTCTGCCCATCTGTCTTTCAGCTCTTCTGGGCTCATATAAGCTCTTTGTCCTGTAGCCCAGATTTGTTTTCCAGATGATAAACAAAAACTCTTGTGACAGAATTTCCAAATGCTTACATTCCTTTGGTAGAGTCTGTCATGACTTTTATTGGTACACATATAACGAGAAAAAACTTTCTTATTCAGTTACTACCCTGACTAGGGTTCATAGAGTTGACTCATAAATAATGGAATTTATACATAACTTATGATAGGTATTTTAAAAATTCAGATTAATAAAATATTGCATATATGTATGTATGTATGTACATGCAGGCTGCATGGCTGAAATTTCTTTCCTACCATGTGCTTGAATTTTCAGCATTCTTACTATATTAGGTTTGATTATCTTGTAGTCAATATCTCTAGGAAATAGGGATGTATTTATATCTGTTTATTTTTTTTCTGACTACTTCTTCTACTGATTTTTACTTTTAATTCTGTATTGAATTAATGCTTGCCATTTTATCTGAAGTAGATATTTTCTATGGGGATTAAAGATGGAGGGTTCTAAGTTTCAGTTAAAATTTCAAGAGGAAAAGAAGTATATTCCAAATGTATTAATACGACTTGCTATGAAATGTCTATTTGGGAATTAATGTCGTTAAGTTCCCTCATAAGCAAATCTGCTTATTAAAGAAGATATTTGATGAGCATATATGATACTAATTAACATACTGCAAGCTATCTGTGTATTTTTTTCTATTATATCTTTTTACTGCATGAACCAGTCTTCATAATTTCAGAGTATTCTACAAAGTATCAAGAAGTCAGTAAACACATACAATGTTTTCAAGCATTTGATTTTTTTTAGTAATTCGGGAATGTCCTAGCAATAAGGAGAGATGTGATATATCTCCCATAAGTCTTGTGTCTTCCTTATGTGAGACGTTCTGTCATGTTGGATTCAAATCTGTCTTACTATTAGAAAGACCTCTGTTTTCCTCTTTGCTTTTAAAATTAGGTACTAACAATAGAAGTACTTACTGAAGAAACCATGGTTACAGTGGGACTAAGTTATATCTGCATCACTGTGAAGTCCTTTTCATTTTTGCTGTGTCCTTCATTGTAGATATATGCAGAATTTTCATTAGTAGCAGTTGCACTGGTATTTAGACAAACAAAGAGAGGGAGGGCAGCAGAAGCAGAGAGATATCCTAGATATGGTCTTCCTTCAAGAAAAAGAATTCAAGAAAGAATTCTCAGTTTTCAAAATTCTAAATACACCCTTGAGGTTCTTCAGCAAGTGGAAGAAGAGCAGGAAGAAACATGCTGATGTTATGTCACTTCTTCTCAAATGACATATCAGTTGTTCTTCCTTCTACATCACTGATGGAAAGCAAAACCAAGTCCAAACATACTAGACACTTTTCCCCCCAGAATCAGGGCCAGAATAAAAATCAGCAAAGCTGTTCTCAAAGTAAAATACTGGTCAGCAGAAGTTTAATTGTGGGATAGGATTCTAGGTGGTCAGCAAATAAAGTGGCGAATATATCGCTTTTCAAAACAAATTAATCATCTCTTCCCCTTATATTTATATCTTCTACACCAAAACAGCAAATAGAGCAGAAAACAAAATCTTTCATATTAAATTTTTTCTCAACACAGGATGACATTTACAGCTACAGGGCTTGAATTTCATTTGCATATACTGTTATATCACATCTGCCTTTTCTTTTGCACCATGCTTGGACATTCTTTTTTGATAACTACTTTGGCACCCAGATTGAAGACAGTGAGTCCAATTGTGGATTAATGACATTTAGAGGCAACTTGATTTAGTTGTGTGAAGCTTGGGTTAGTTGGTCTGCTTAGGAGTTTTTATACAGAAGAAAACAATATTCATTATCACTTCTAATTTTTACCTGATACTTACTGTATTTTTCTCTGTGGAGTAGTTTATGCAGTACAGTAAGAAAATATAAAACAAACACCCCTCCCATCCATAAATTAAACCAAAATAAAAGTAAGCCACCAAACAGTTCCCAACACAGCTGTACAGGAAGAAGTTTCCTCAGCTCAAAATCTGAATGAATAATCCCCTCAAAAGATTGAGTTCAGACTTGTTTTGGACAATTGAGGAGTTCTGCTGTACCTGTCAGATATGTGTTTATGCCTATTCCTTTTAGTTTTTCTAATCTGCCATTGCAATTTCAATTACACATCTTTATTTATTATTCCTTAATGAGTGGTGGTATGCACTATGCTAGAGCATAACACTGAAGGCATTTTGGTCACCACCAAAACCACCAAATCAGTAATGCAAGGTTGTATACTTACAAGGAAATTCAGCAATTTGCAGAATGTTGTTGTCTCTTTTAGAAGAAAAGGTTACGTATCTAATAGAACATTTTTAGATTAAATCAGGAAAGCTGCTTTTTAATAATCATAAACAATCATTGTTATCATGTCTGCAAAAATGAAGACAGGGTTTCTATCCATTGTGAATATTTCTGACTTTTTTTTTATCTCCTGTTTTGTGCTGATATATATGGTGGAATTGCACAAGTACTCACTTGAGCTGAGGAGACAGCAGTGTCACCTTTCTTGTTGCTACATCTGCAGAACTCAACTTGGATGACACCAGCTTCATGTGGTCAACATCTGTGGGGATGACTAGAGGATGGACTGGCAACAGAAATCAAGGTTAAAAGCAGGATGCAAAAAAAGATTAATTGTTTGAATATGAAAAATAGAGAATTGCCCAGTTGAAAAAGACATTAAATAAAAATGGACAAAAGAAAGAAAAATAGAAGAAATTATAGCAAATGGAAGAAAAAACAACTTAGTGTGACAACATGAGAAGGCCTGTTTCTTAATCTAGCAATAAAAATGTTGTGATCTTTGAGCTAAGATATTTTACTTCATTAAAGTGTCACCTTATTCTTTTTAAAATCATATATCTTTAGACAAGATAATTTGATTGTACATAGCAAAGGTGAAAGCAGTTTGATGCATTTTACTTTTTGACTGAGGTGTTTTAGTATTACTTATTTTCTGTAGTCTAATATGAATGAAATATTTACATCTCAAAATTGGACTTTTTTTTTTCTTATGCACCAATAAAAGCTTTTTAGTTATGCTGTGGTCATAGAACAATGCAGTCTTTGTTGATCTGTGATGTTTTATTCCCTTAGGAAGATAGAACCTTAGATTGGAGGTATGAAAAAGGCTGTTCATCTTTAAACTCAATATCAGTCAAACATCTACAGAGTTCTTTATTTCTTTTTCTACCCTGTGCACACATGGAAGTATTTGATCTCAATTTCTGAAGAAAATTTGGAAAGAGCACTAAGGAAAAAGTTTAATCTTTGTAATACCTATGTAAATATTTCCTGTCTGTAGTTTCCATGAGGAAAAAATGAATTTAAACTAGGAAAACTTAAAAAAAATTTGCTTTCAGAACAGGAAACACAAATTACAATAAAACGAAAATATCTTCATTGAAAGAAAATTATCAAAAATATTATTCCAGCAAGAACAATAAAAGTAAATGTAAAAGCAAGAGACATTTTTAGAAATAAATAAGTGAACTAATAACTTGTAATTCAGGCAAATTTTGTGACCTGTTAAGAAACGACCAATGCTCATGGAAATACCTCTGTAAAAATAACATTGTAGATGTTGCATTCCTTGTCACTGCTTAATATCCCTTATCAAATGAGTACTGCTTGAAAACTGGACAGTGTTAAATATGGCTGGAAGGAAAACGAGAAAGCATCAATGTTCTCAGCTGGAATTATAAGCAAGCAGTATCTCCTTGAGTCATGCTACTACCAATAATAAATATTTAACAGTTGGGATTTAACAAGTTAGCCTTGTCTAGACCCAACATTTGCACTGTTTTAATTGACATTGTATCTTCTATCTCTAGCTGAACAATATAGAAAATTAGATTATATGAAGGACTCTTAATACTTGTGGCTGTAAAAAGTCTGGATCTAAGAATAAATCTTAAAAGCAGTCTTAAACAAAGAATGAGCTATATCTGGACCAAAGGAGGAAAATATTTTCATGTTAAAACTCTATAATGCAGAAATTTTTAATGACTTAAAAATTTATGTATTAAATTTGTGGGTAATAAGATAAATTTTATATTTAACTTCTGTTATTAAATCTGTTGAAATAAATTATTCTCTCATGTTAGTATTAGAATTATACCCAGGAATTGATATCTTATTCAGTAGGTCAATCACAGTAGCAGGAATTGAAATAAAAGGAATTTGGCTCCATGTGGTTTATGTTCATATGCAGCTGAAGAAATATAAATCTTAGTATAATATGCAGTTCAAAAAATCCAAGCAGGTCCTTGCAGGATATGAGAATGACTTGGAATCAAAATTGTACTTGCTCAGTAGATGTTTTAATCACAGAAAAGCTGTTATTTATTTCAAAATCAAGTTCCTTTCTACAGTGTTTCATGAATTGTACAAATGGGTTTATTTGTATGTATTTGGTTGTCATTTCTAATGCTTGGAATGTGAGCCGTGGATGATAGGCTGAAACAAACCTCCCTTTTTGTAATTTGCAGAGGCTTTAAGAAATTTCCCATTGTTATTATTATTATTTCAGTATATTGGGAAACTGGTAAATTACAGAACCACAGAATTGTTATGGTTGGAAAAGACCTCTAAGATCTTTGAGTCCAGCCACTGATATAGCAGTTACAGGTCCATCCCTAGACCATGTCCTTAAGACCAATAAAGTCAACTTTATCAACAGAAATAAAAAAACCCACTTCTGATTAAATTATTTTTGCAGCTTTCCCATACAAAAAGTCATATAACTTCAAAAAATTCATTTTTCTAAATTTATATTGCATTATTTAAACAGAATTATGTATGCAGGGCAATACCTGCCTTTGGATCATTTAAGGATCCAAAAAAGAAAGTGTCCATTAAGTGTAAGCCTTAAGTTGTCCTCTATATATTAACTTAATGGAATTTTTTGTGTTCTAGATTATGTTCTAATATATTCTGGTGGAGCAACACTGTTCACATAGATTAAAATTTGATTTCATATTGTTTTTGTTGAAAACTAAAGAGAGGTGAAGAGATGGCAAAAATTACTCTGAAATTCCTGTCCTCTGCAAGCCCAGGAATAATTTCAATTTATGGACAAGATTTACAAAACACTTAAGATTTAATTTATATTTCAAAATCCATAGCTCTACCTCAGATTTATGCACCATGGCTGTATGTCAGTGAGCAGATGAAGAGATTACCCAAACACTGATGCTGTCCCACACCCAGTTAAATAAAACTGATAGCATAGCTCATGAACTTCTGAGGAGCAGAGCCAGATCCTACCAGGACTTTATGTCAGATGTCTTATTTGCCAAATGTGGCATATAGGAGAGAAAGCTCCTGGGCAAAAGCCTGCATCACTTATGAGTCCATCTGAGATGAGAGGCTTTGGAGCACATTCCTTGACGGCCCAACCTTGTATTTTGGGCAAATGTCCTAAGTTCATCTTTGAGAAAGTGTAAAATCTCAGTCCTACATGTTCAAATTATTAATTTTTCTGTAGCCAACCCATTGTTCTTTGGGCCAGAACTGTAACACAGAGACTAGAGTCCTCACCTGTTGTGCACTGAGACCAAAATACCTCCTTGCCTCTTTTGGATCTAAGTTTAAAACACTAAAGCCCTACAGGTAGGATTGTCCTGTTCAGATCTCTAATGATTTTCACACTGACTTTGACAATGAAGCCTTTGCTTCTAATGGGACTTTTGCACTTTCTCATGCCCAAGGAACTTTAAGTGCTATGGTATTGGCTATTCTGTTATACACAATGGTATTTTTTTCATAACAGAGTACTGATTTCTGGAAATTAATAGGAGAGGAATTCTATCAAGGTATCTCAGTCAGAAAGAATCACATATCTGGTGATATCACCTATCACCTAGATTTAGACATTGATCTTAAATAAAGAGTAGATGCTTAGGTTTTCTAAGTTTTGTCATCCCAATTCATGGTTGGCTTAAAGAGATAAATCATTATTTTCAGATTTTCCCTTTAGGCAAGTTGTTGTTGCATAATTTGACAGGCTGAACACTCAAATCAGAAATGGCTATTCTGTGAGATGGCAGGAGTTTTGAGATCATGGTACTCAGAATTGCAATAATTGCATTTGTTCAATTGCTTAAGTATAACCCATAAGTTTATTTAATAGCAAACATTTTCCAGTAAAACCTACCTAAAACTTTATGACAAAACCTCAATCTTGATCTTTTGCTGATTTCCAGAGATTTTAAATCATTTCCAAATGCTTATAGGCAGGCTTACATGAACAGGTCTGAAAATCTGTATGAGGTAGAAGTTTAATACCAGTTTGCAACGTAATGAACAATGATGCTGTATTATTCAAATTAGTATTATTACTGCAATGCTGAATAATTTAGGCTACTCATTAAGACATTGTGAAAAATAATGAACTGCTAATGGAAGAAATGTAAATCACAGTAAAAAAACCTCTCACAGTAGCATCATAGATTTATGTAATACAATTTTACATTTTTATTTGCATAATTAACATATAAAATTAGCATGGCTATAAGTATATCTAATCAAATATAATGCCTCTGAAATTCACTATGAAAAAAGTAGTACAGATAGAAGTAACTGTAATGGGAATGTTTCAATGAAGTGTAATTGGGAGGAAAATTCTTCATCATGCTTTTCACCACCATGTCACCTTTCTCATGACTCTCCATAAGGATTGTCTAAGTAGTGTGCACTTGGATTTAGTCATGTGCTGAATTCTACCTAATTAGGAATCTGGTCCATTTCAAAATTCTCTGGCTTATGTAGCAATGCAGTACATCTACTTACCAGAACTTTCCCAATGTTTTTAAGAGTTCCCTTGGTATTTAATATTAGTTGTTGATACTTAACGGAGGCTACTTTGGACAGAATGATCCCTTATCTCACAAGTAGGGTTCTTCAGATATTAAGATTTGATAAAAGAACAATATTGACTGCATTGCATTATAGAAATTATAAAAATGAATGCATCTGTGTTAGATGGATGGGTGAGTTGGATTGGCATGGAAACAGGAGTGGCTTCTGCAAGAAGCTGACAGAAGCTTCCCCCATGTCCAACAGAGCCAATTCCAGCCAGCTCCGGGATTGCCTCACCCCTGGCCAAGGCCCATCAGCAATGGTGGTCGTGCCTCTGGGATAACAGATTTAAGGAGAGGAAAAAACTGCTGGGCAACAGCAGCCAGAAAGAGGAGTGAGAATATGCAAGATAACAACGCTGTGGGCACCAAGGTCAGTGAAATCAGCAGTGAGTGAGGAAGGAGGTGCTGCAGACATGGAGCAGAGATTTCTCTGCAGCCTGTGCCTGACCACAGTGAAGCAGGCTGTCATCCTGCAACCCACAGAGGTACACAGTGCAGCAGAGATCCACCTGCAGACCATGGAGAACGTGCCTGTGCTGCAGCAGGCTTGCTGGCAGGACCAGTGATTGTGTGGGGCGTCAGTGCTGGAGCAGTGTGGTCCTGAAGGACTGCACCCTGTGTGAAGGAGCCATGCTGGAGATGTTCAGGGAGAGTTGTGTTCCATAGGAGGGACCCCTCAGTAGAATAGGAGAGAGTGCTGCCCCTGAGGAAACAGGAGCATCAGAGAAGTGATGAACCAACCACAGCCTTTCTTCTCCATCCCCCTACACCTCTTGCAAAGAAGAGGTGAAGAAAATCAGGATTAAAGTTAAGGCTGGGAAGAAGGGAGGGCTAGAAGCTGTTTAAAGATTTTGTTTCATGTTTCAGTGTACTCTGTTTTGATTGGTAATAAATTAATTTAACCAAATCAAGTGTATTTTGCCCATGGTAGTATTGGGTAAGTGATCTCTGCCTGCTCTTATCTCAACCCAGAAGTCTTTTGTTGTATTTTTTCTCCCCTGCCCAGCTGAGGAGGGCAGGAACAGAGCAGCTTGTGTGGGCACTTGGTGTCCAGCCAGGGGCAACCCATAACAATTGGATCTGCCTCAGCAGGTGATCGGAGGCACTGTCTCCATTGACTGGGAATTTGGACAAGCTGGATCAATACCTTCCTGGAGCAAGCATCTGTATTTCTGCCAAGACAGTATC